CTGCGACTGCTTAGTGTGCTGTGGTGTAGCGTGGCGGAATCACAGAATGATTTGGGTTAGAAGGGACCTTAAAGATCATCTCACTCCAACCCCCCGCCATCGGCAGGGACATCTTTCACTGTCTCAGGCTGCTCAGCGCCCCATCCAACCTGGCCTGGAACACTTCCAGGGATGGGACAGCCACAGCTTCTCTGGGCAACCTGTTCCAATGCCTGGCTACCCTTACAAGAAAAAACTTCTGTTATCTAACCTAGCCTCTCTATGGGTTTGTACCCATCACACTTTGACAGATCACTATCAATGAATGAATGAAAGCTGAACCGTAAACAAAGTAACTCTTAGCTCCACTCTTCCTATGTACCTCCCTGTGGACCTCAGTGATCTGGAGCCACTTAATTATCTAAATAGCTTATTGTGCTGCTCTTGCTGGTACCACACCAAATGTCTGCAGGTGATACTGAGGGGACTTCGAGGTGAGGACAAGACATTGGAGTGGAAAAAAGTAAAATACTTGTGTTTGTGGCCATAGTTTTGTTTCCACTGAAGTTCTTGGAAACAGAGATCAAAGAAATCAAAGTAAAGAAGTTCATAAGTGTGTCCTGGCAGCCAGGAAGACCAGCGGTATCCTGGGGTGCATCGGGAAGTGTGGCCAGCAGGTCAAGGGAGGAGATCCTGCCCCTCTACTCGNTGCCTGGCTACCCTTACAAGAAAAAACTTCTGTTATCTAACCTAGCCCCTCTATGGGTTTGTACCCATCACGCTTTGACAGATCACTATCAATGAATGAATGAAAGCTGAACCGTAAACAAAGTAACTCTTAGCTCCACTCTTCCTATGTACCTCCCTGTGGACCTCAGTGATCTGGAGCCACTTAATTATCTAAATAGCTTATTGTGCTGCTCTTGCTGGTACCACACCAAATGTCTGCAGGTGATACTGAGGGGACTTCGAGGTGAGGACAAGACATTGGAGTGGAAAAAAGTAAAATACTTGTGTTTGTGGCCATAGTTTTGTTTCCACTGAAGTTCTTGGAAACAGAGACCAAAGAAATCAAAGTAAAGAAGTTCATAAGTGTGTCCTGGCAGCCAGGAAGACCAGCGGTATCCTGGGGTGCATCGGGAAGTGTGGCCAGCAGGTCAAGGGAGGAGATCCTGCCCCTCTACTCGGCCCCGGTGAGGCCACATCTGGAGTCCTGTGTCCAGTTCTCTGCTCCTCAGGGCGAGAAAAACAAGGAGATACTGGAGAAGGTCCTGCGGAGGGGAATAAAGATGGTGAGAGGTCTGGAGTATCACTAATGAGAAAGGACTGTGAGAGCTGGTCCTGTTCATTCTGGAGAAGACTGAGAGGGGATCTCATTAATGTATATAAATACCTGAAATCAGTGCCACGAGGACATTGCCAGACTTTCAGTGGTGCCCAGTGAAAGAACAAGGAGCAGTGGCCATGAAGTAAAACACAAAGAGTTTAATCTCAAAGTGAGGAAGGACTTCTTTACGCTGAAGGTGGCAGAGCCCTGGAACACCTGCCCAGGGAGGGCGTGGAGTCTCCCTCTTTGGAGACATTCCAAACCCACCTGGACACATTCCTTCATCACCTGTTGCAGGTGACCCTGCCTTGGCAGGGGGGTTGGACTGGGTGATCTCCAGAGGATCCTGCCAGCCCTACCAATTGTGATTATGTGGTAACAGCTTAAGCAGCAAGGTAAAGGACAATGATAGGCCTTTGATTTAAATTACCATCTCATAGATGATGCATTTCTCGTATGATTGCCACAGAAGGAAATGAATCTGCCTGATAAGCACCACAGCATCAGTTATGAAGGAGGGTGTGAAAACCTTAGGAAAAAAGAAAAGTTAAAATAGCTAAGTTTGAAAGCAGGATACTGGAAGTGGAGGTATTGGAGAGCCAGTTAAGATCAAGAATGAAGACAGGCAGCAGAGTTTAGCAGCATTCAAGGTCAATGATTCTTTGAGATATTCAGATATTGTGCTGTTACTGGGAGAAGTACTAACCCTTGGGATTAATTTTTAGATTTCTGATTGATTAAACCCTTTTGTGGGCTTTGCTTTTCCCCATAATTTCCTGTCTGGAGTATTCTTTGGGCAAAAAAAAAAATCTCTTCAGAAAGAGACTCACTGTTTCTCTTTTGCTTAGTTCCTCATATGGGACCTTCAGCTGTTTCCAGTGCTAAGACTGTTGGTTTTGACTGTCAGAGACAAGAATACTAAATAAAATACTCTGATATTTAGGGGTTTTAAGGTTTGGGGGTTTTTTTCATTTTTTCTGAAATTCTGAAAATAGTTCATCAGGGATCTTAAAGTTCACTGCTATCTGGAAACATACAGAGTTAGCCATAGAGTCACTGGTGGAGTAGTGTGATAAATTCCTGGAGAGAACCACTGCGTCGGTTGGTGTTTGGAAAGTTAATTCTGCATCTGTAGTCTAGAACATTTCAACTGTTACATTGAATGGTGTTATAAACCACTAGTAATTGCAAAAGAATGCACATAGCTTTTCCCAAATTAAATTTCCAATACTAAAAAATACTGCTAGCAAAATAATAGTTATACATTGAATATGAACTGTATTAGCTTTTGTCTTCTAAAAGCCTATAGCACACAATTCCATTTTATTTTGCACTATATAATGCACTATAAAAGACTGGGGATGTACGTTGTCTGCCGTAATCTTTCACAAGCAATGTATCTTAATTTTGAATCTTAATATCTACTAAGCTGTTTCGAGACAGTACTGCAGTACTCTTGCATATCTTATGGAATTTCTGGAGAAACACTGATGAAGATTTTCTCCCTTGTATCAGGAAATCATAATAATCCAGAATAAATACAGCCCAGCTAGTATGTGTTTCTGCATTTCTAGGCATTGATATGTTGTATTTGACTAATGTGGGAAAGCTCTTCTGGCACAGGAGAAAACATTTAAAATTAGTTTGCTCTCTCTATAAATATTCATAGTTTGTTATTGAAAAGATTTTATACAAGAGGCCAGCATTTTTTCGTTCCTTTAAGAAGAGTAGTTAAATATATTTACAACCTCTGATATAAATCAAGTCAGTAAGACCCTCTGCTGGGATGTCAGCATCAGAGGATAATAGTCGAACCATTCATATTCTTCCAGCAGTTATTTTGGGATAATGAGTACAATATTCGCTTCTATTTTTTTCCTTTTCCTTCCACTAACCAGAGAATATGGGTGACTTCTGAAGTGAATCAGAATCCTTGTGACAGAAGTTATGACAAACAAGTGATTTCGGGTGATTAGAGAAGTCAGAGTGGTGATTGCAGCAGCTGTTGGGAGTTGGCCTCTGCCTCCTTGCCAGATCTGTACCTTGAGCTGTGTCTGCGGGAGGAGTGAATACTCACTTCCCATGGCTGCCTATTTATCTTGCTGGCAGCTGGTCATTCCTCTGGAGTCCTCCCTCCAAGTGTTTTCCTTCCAGAATACAGATTGTTTCTGCTCTTCTGAAGTAGAGGGTACTGGAGAAAAGGGCAGTTGCAATTGTTACATTGCCTTCAGTCAGCAGATCCATTGGATATACAATTTGCAATTCCATTTTTCATTGTAAACAAGTAGGGAGAGTGCCTGTAGTAAATTGTGTTGAGTTACTTAGTGTTTTTAATCGAGGGGTGTTAAAATGCTCATAGTAACAGTTTGAAGTGGCAGGCAAAACTACAGAACTACAGCTCTAACAGCATGTACTATGCAGCCTTGCTGAAAGCCAAGCCATTTGAGAAGTTTGGGGTGTGGAATGTTGCTGTAACAAATTTCTGAGTTATTTGAGTTATTTTCCAATAACTACTAAAACAGGCGTAATTATCCTCCTTTACTCCCAAGCTCATCAAGCAACAGCAAATGACCAATTACATCAACAAAGTGCAATTAAAATATGTTGAGGTAGATCTGACCAACAGTAGCAGTGAGGGCTGTGATTGTGGATGTGGTTTTTTGTTTGTTTCAGGACAGGCTATGCAAAACTACTTAGGACTTCAATATACACATATTGGGCACATACTGGGCTGCCAGCCTGTCTATAGTATTAGGGCTGGTTTTGCTAAGCTGTTTTAGTGTCCTATAGGTTTCTAAATTGTGTGGTCACAGGGAAAGCAATAATAAATGCATGTGTTTGCAGCCCTGTTGCTGCCAGTCCTGATTTTTCTCTCCCAGTCTGTAAGAGTCAAAGGAAGCCTTTAGAGACTTAAAATTAAAAGCAGGATGAATTTCTAAGAGCAGTCCCCAAGATACTTAAGAGGCTATTGGTAGTTTTAATCACAGCTTGACATTTCTATCATGGTTTTTCATACAGACTTTCCATCCTACTTTTGGCTTCCCAGTATTTCTTGAGCATCCTTTGTAGAACTCAAAGTTTATAGAACTGTTTAGATTGGGAAAAAACCTTTAAGAGCATTAAGTCCAACTGTTAACCCAGCACTTCCCATTCCATAATATAAGCAAATATATTATCTACAAAAGGTATTTTTAAAAAATCTGCAAATTAAGATAATAAAATGAAAATTTTCATAAAATTAAACTGCTGTGCAACACTAGCAGCCTAGAGATATTTTATCTATGTGTAATGTAGCTCTACCATTTAATTAATAAAAATTAAATATGAAGCATGAAAATTATAATTGAACATTAATCTCTCAATATTTAGTATCTACTAGTTTTGTGAAAACTGGCAATTGTTTGGAGACACAGGCTACTGTTTGATAGCTGTCAGCACATGTGTAACTTTGAAAATTCCTGCAGGATTCATCCAAGTTGTGTTCCATCTGGAAAATGAGGGGAATGGAACTGCTATGCAAGGTCTTGGGAGATGGACATGAGGTCTCAGAAGGATGGAGAGGACCAGGGTACTTATATTACTGTGGTAAAGATAATGGGATAAGATCTGCAAATCCCAGAGTATTCTGAACTGAAAGAGAAGGATCACAAGGATCCACTCAATGATCCACAAGGAGGATCCACTCTTCAGTGAATGACCCATACGGGAATCAAACACACGACCTTGGTGTTATTTGTACCATGTTCTGACCAACTGATCTAATCAGGAAAACAGAGTTTCATTATCTCTTTACTAAACAATCCTTTTCTCCATACTAGCAATTAATCAAAAGGGGTGTGTGACTTTGCCATATCTATATATGCTTGATTGCTTTTGGTTCCATTCAATTTCAGTGTCTAGTTCCAAATGTGAACTTTTTTGATAAGCAGCTTCCAAAGATCTGTCCATTGAAGTAACTGACGCCTACAAGATTTATGATATTTGTACACTCAGGGAAGTTTCTAAATTTAAAATGTCTTTAGATTGGATGTTCTAATTTTTTCCCCAATTTTTATCCATAACTTTTTTTAGGTACCATATTTTGCTACATGCCTAAATTTGCTTCTTTTTCAGAGATTGGAATGGGACTAACAGGCTTTGGAGTGTTTTTCCTCTTCTTTGGAATGATACTCTTCTTTGACAAAGCTCTTCTGGCTATTGGAAATGTAAGTGCCTTTTCTGCACTGGTTAGAATCAAGTGATCTATTGAAGATAAACTAAAAATAGAAAAATACGTTATCAGTTTGAAGCTGCATGACCAAGATTACTGTGGTGATTTGGTATATAGGAGGAGCTGTGCTCAGTGATAGGAGTGAATAATTTTTCCTGGTTGAGTTAGAACAGCTCACACTGATGTGAGTATCACCTTGGGTCAGGCCTGTGGGATGTTGGTAGGCAAGAAGCAGCCTGTTCCACAGTTACTGTGCTGCTGCAAATGTGATTTTTTTGTGTCCTCTAAGATAACTGTCAATTTAAATATCTATTTGGATAAGAATCATTAAGTACGTGCTAGCAAATGTAGCTTTGCAGTGCTGTATGAGGAAAGAAAGAAGTGTGAATTGCTGACACTTCCGGCTTTAGAAGAGCCAGACCTCTTTCATAAAGGAGAGATTCAGTACTTCAGCTTTTACCAAATTGAAGTTGTTGCTCAAAGTAGCACAGAAAATAAATCCTAGTTCTGGTACACAAAATTTCCAATCCAAATATAAAATGACAGGGTGTTTTCTGCATATGATAGTCTCTGTGTGTCTGCTGTTCTCAGCTTTGCCAGCCAAAATACAGCCTAGATGGTAGAGGCTCACCCCCTCTTCTGCTGATGCCTAAAAGTCTGCAGCCAAACAGATCAGTTTCATTCCCAAATATTGAGATTCCCTGAAGGGAAATACAAAATTGTGTCTCTGAATTTGGGTGCATTAGTTGAAGCATTGTTATGAGCTGTCAAATCAAGTGTGCAGTGGAAGAGTGAAAAATGAAATAATGCTTATTTTTTCTTTTCATAATGTAAGGTGGAAATGTGAGATCCAGTTTAGGGAAAATGAAAATGTAGGTAGGAAGAGACAATGACAGGCTATGTGGTAACCAAGGATAATGCAAGAAAAGGTACTGTATCCTTGCAGAGAGTTGTTTTTATTAAAAAAAATATATATATGAGAAAGAGAAGGAGGTTCTAAGAAAGTGATTTATTAAATACTGTACAAAGCTTAAATGAAACAATCTTGAGTAAAATCTGAGATTCTTTTGCTTTCTGAGCAAAAATGTCACTGAAATAATTCTGAGTCCTGTTGCTCTGGGACACCAGAAATAGTTCTAACTAGTTGGGACTAGTGTGATAGTGTTCAGTCTATACTGGAACAAATAAATAAACAGTAAAAAGGCTCTGCACAGTAAAAAACAACTGTTCAACTTTTTCTTTCTCTGCCTTTGCACTATGAGTAGATCAGTAGAAGCTGTTGAAGATGTCAGTGGCACAGAACAGAGATGCTTTTATGTGTATTCTTAGTTTTTAGGAGCCCTTGCTGTCAGTAGTACTAAGCTTCAGCACTGCTTGTGGTAAAGATTGTATGTATGTGACAGGGCAGATACAGCTGTTGTCAGCAGGTCTTTTGTGTGTATTTGGCAGAGACCACAAAGGATAGACTCTACTTTGAAGCAGCTGAGAGCTACAAGTGCTTTAAGATGGACCTTACAAAAGAAAACCAATAGTAAATTCATTCTCACCAATTGTCTTGATCCCTTGAGGAGCTGGAACAGAGGCTACACACAGAGTTAAGGGGAATAAAATGGGTATTTATTGAGAGGCCAAGAAAGGCCTACAAAAGCCACACCCTAGCAGTATGAGTGCTACAGTTGTGACCCCTGCCTGGATGGCTCCAAGATGGAAGCAAAGGAGGGGTTGGTCACAAAATCTTACACTTTTGGTTCATTTGCATGAACCCACCCTCCACGTTTCCACCTAGTTTGTGCTTAGGGCCTGAAGTTTGGAGAAACTGTCCTTGAGTTCTTAACTAGAATAGGACTGTTTTGTGTTCATCACCCTAGCACATCAGAAAGGCACATCCAAGGAGAATAGGAAAACTTAAAACTAAAGGCATCAGTCTTTTGGTATTAAAATAAGTTGTGCAAGAAAAGCAGTCTAATTTGGTTATATATATATATGTTTAAATCCTGTACTCGGGAACATAATTAGTTGTTTTCTTTCTTTGGCTTGTTTTTGTCTTTTCTAGGTTTTATTTGTGGCTGGCTTGTCTTTTGTTATTGGTTTAGAAAGAACATTTAGATTCTTCTTTCAAAAACACAAAATGAAAGCAACAGGCTTCTTCCTGGGTGGTGTGCTCATAGTTCTCATTGGTTGGCCTTTAATAGGAATGATCCTTGAAATTTATGGGTTCTTCCTATTGTTCAGGTAAGTCTTGTTTGAAAACAACTTTGTGTTAGTTTATCTAGAAATAAATGTATTCGTGTAGTGTTTCTGTGTTAGAGTTGACAAAGCAGCATCCTTTAAATGTTCCTTTTGGACAGATTTTATATGAAATTGTTTATTTACAAGTTGGTAAGTATTTTTCCAAGACTCAAATCTGCTAATGTTTGTGGGGCATTTATCAAACTGACTTTGATAATGTTGATGTCTAACCAAAGAATTGTAAAGCTTCAAATATGTGGGAGCCCAAGTTGTTAGCAGTATGAAGTTTAAATATCTCCTCATGGAAAAGGAATACTTGGTACTTTTTTTGGTGGAGAGTTTGTTCTTTTTTTTAACAAATGGGGCAAAATATTTAGTTAGTACCATCCTAGGTTTGTAACCTTACCATTTCATCACTATGGCAGCCCAGGGAAAAGATGTTTTCTATCATATTTCATTACAACTGTGCTTTAGAATCAGAACTGCTTGTTTGGGTTAGCAGTATCTTGACTGAGTTAAGGAAAAATGGAAATTCTATTTTTTTTAACAGCAATCTTGAAACATGTTACAACTTTCACAGTGTGTCATTTAAGTTCTTCAAAAATGCAACTGTAATAGTGAAAGAATTTGACTTGTTACAACCTGCATAGATATCTATATTTTTATCTTTTATTTCCATGGTTGAAGTTCTATGCTTCCCTACAGAAGAAAGCAAAAAATATACAAAAAGTAGAAATGGAGGCTTCTGGTTATTCTTGGGCTTCTGTCTAGATGCAGACTGTTTCACTAATGGTTATTAATGAAGTTTCAGACCCTCAAGTGTTCAGCAAATGGCTAAATAATACTGTTCCTGTTAATCAAAGTGAAACCATTGTTCTCATGAAGCTCTTTTTGTACTCAGTAAAATTGTATGTTAATCTGGTATTTAGTTCAGATAAAATGTTTATTTTTAAAAACAAATCTGAACTTGACTCCTACTGGAGACAGTGAAATTTCAGACAAATTAATTTTGTGGGTTTAATGTATTTCTTATTGTTCTACTGTGTTACTCTGAATTCTGTCACTGCAAGTGCTTTGATAATCACAGTATTTCACTGAATACATTGTTACTTCTTGCATAGTGCTTAGTTTAATCAGACAATACAAAGCAAGTAGAATGTGTTTCCAACAAAACACCCTCCTTTTAAAAGATCTCAAAAGGGTTATAAGTTAGTATGTCTAAGCAAGTATGGCTATGGATTATTTAGTGGTGCTTGCAAGGTAAAATAATGTTGAGAGGTTTATAGAAGATCAATAGTTATCCCTAGAACTATCCCCTAGCCTGAAGGGAATCAACAAGTGATGGATAATTCCAGGTATGAATGTTTATCTGATCTGTTTTAATTTAAAGCATCTGGAGACCAGTAGTTTGGACTGAATGATCTTAAATGTCTTTTCCAACCTTGATGATTCCATGACTATCTTTTCCAGTGCTTATTAGTTGATAGAATCTAAATGCCTCACTACAAGGTTGGCTAGTGACTACTTCAAGCAAAGCTTTTTGTTTTGCTTCAGTCTTGTTCAGTTCAACCATCATCCTGTTGTCAGCAACTTGCTTCTTTCTGAAGAAGTTACAAATGAAGTGTTTCCTCTAGCATCATTTTATACTGTTCCTCAGGATCCTGCTGCTTGCTTGCATAGCAGAAAACTGCCCTGGCTATTATGGGACAGTTGTTGTAATCTAAGGGTGCTTTTGGAGCCTTGTTCAGATTATAGCATTGCAGACTTATGGCTGACAATATTATCCCTAGTGTACTGACGATTCTTTATTCTTGGACACAGCAGTTGTTTTAATCTGTTACAAGTCGTTTGTGTGCCCTGCCTCACAATTTACTGGGCCACTGAAATGATCTGGTCTTAAAAAAAAATAATAAAAAAAAAAATCTCAAAACCCCCCCTTATTAGTGTGGCTATTACCCAGTAAATAGTTGTTAGCAGTGTGGTGAAGAGGATGGTGACTTGTGAAACTTCACTGTTTCACTGTGGCTGGGGCCTCATTGCACATTAATCCTTATTCCATGCAGGGAATGCTCAACATGAGATCGCTGGGAATGCCACCAGCTGCTTGCAAACAGCTGAGATGCTGCCACAGAAAATTTGTTTTTCTGCTGCAGAGATTAAGTGGACAGTACAGGGGCTACAGCATAGCAGCTATGCCAGGCAACATCCCCAGGATCATGATTCAAACCACTGACTGAAATTTGGGAAATAAATGAATATACAACTCTGTCGTGTTATTTTCTTTAGTTAATGTGAAGAGTACCATACATGGTTTTAATTACTCAAAACT